ACAAATATTTCAAAGTTCGATTCATATTTAAAAAAATTAATTGTTAATTGTCCAAAATAAAATGTTAGCAAAACCTTGACTCATCATCTCGCAAATGTTCTTCCACATATGTACTACAAATGTATGTATTTAATGGTAAATCATCAGCACAAACAGCACTTAGACTACTAATAAAATGAAGATAAGTAGAAATTGGTAAAATTTTATCATGAAGTTTTAAAAGTTCAAATTTTAATGAATCATACATCGATACTAAACTGCTTCGACACATACCATATAAACTATTTAATTCATCACCATTAATTCCATCACAAAGCGGTAATAAATCAGAAAGATTTTTTTTCATAAGAAAGTCTCGTACAATACTCTCATTCCAATTTGATATATTATCGAAGTTTATTATTTCCTCTATTGCATTATGATGATTGTCAAATTCTTCATTTATATTTTCCTTATACTGATTATCTATTTCAATTTTCTTTTCCATTCTAAAGTGATTCATAAAACTTTTTAGTGAAGAAAATCTTAAGTATTTCATCTTACTTAGCAGCTTCTTTAGCATCTTTACGTTTTTTCTTTTGTAATTGTATTTCATTATCAAGTAATTGGATAGCTTTATCAAAGTCATATGTTCCAAAATCGATATACATTCTTGTACCTAATATAAAACCTAACCATCCATCAGGTACATAATCTTTTTTCATTTTTATTGGAACTATATGTTTTTTACGATTAAATGCATATTCAGCTTCAGATTGACAGTTTGCACTTCTTTTATATGTTTCAGACATGCACATTAGAATAAACTGAGCACTTTCAACTGCATTTGCCTATACAAAGAAAAAAAAACGATCATGAATAACATTTACTACTTTATATAATTCGAAATCGAAATACCATGGCTTCTATTGTTGATCCATGCATTTGTTCTTGATCAAGCCAAACTCTATAACCAAGTTTTTCAGTTAAATGTTTAAAAATACGATGAGCTAAATCCATATCAGCCCATGAATAAGATACCATACAATCATATTTTTGTGTTTCATCTTCCTCCTCGTCTTCTTCAATGCCCAATTCTTGAGCTTTTCGTTTTTTTTCTTGTTTTTTCTTTTCTTGTTCAGCAGCTTGTTCTTCTAAGAATTTTTCTTCTTTTTCTACTTTCCAAATCAAACCTTCAGCTGCTTTTTCTAGTGCAATATTTTCATTTTGTTTTGATTTTTCAAGTAAATGATTGACACGAGTCATTAAGATTTGATCTTGTTTTAGTTTGTTCAATGCTTCAGGATTGTTGAATGTACATGACCAAAGTATTTTGAGAGCATCTTCTAGTTGTTTATGCGATTGTTTATTTGGATCGCCATCACGAATAAAAGTAGTAAGTCTTTCAAGACCACCTTGTTTAATAAACTCATTTTTTATTTTTTCATGTTGCATCAATGCTACAAAATAACAAAAAAAGAAGGTTATAACACTCAATAATCGCTTTCGAACAATAAACAATAATGAAAAGTTCACAATCTAGTTTGTTTTATTTCTCTCTGAGTATCATACCCTGAAGACTTGATAATGTACTGTCCAAATGTGGATTATATTCATTTGGATTGAGTTCTTTGAGTTGATCAATAAAAATAGAAGTGATTTCACTTGAATTATTATTTATTTCTTGTTCATCCATGATTTCTGCAAGAATATCAAATGCTAACTTTCGTTTTTTACCCATTCCACTAGATGTATATTTATTGAAGAAAGATGTTAAATGACGTTTTCTCATGATTGTACGAATGTCAGAATTTTTCGATAAATTATAGAATGCTTCTAAAGCAACAATGATCAATGCATCATCATTAGGATTAGTTAATGATAGATTTCCTAGAAATTTGATTAAACGATCAATAATAATTTGTGCATGTTTATCGAATGAAGGCAGTTGAGGAATACTAAGAAGTTGTTGACATCTTTCGAAAATATAAGAGAAAGCAGAAGATATAATAGGTGGTTGATCAAGAGCATGTTCGAGTCGTGTCAAAAGTTCATCATAGATATTATAAACCAAATCTGGTTTATATAATGAGTACACGCTAGTTTGTGAAGATAGTGAAACAATAGGTAGATATTCCCAACAAGTAAACAAAAGAAAACGATCGATGTCAGTAAGTGTTGCGCCATCTTGCATTTGACGTAATGCTTGAATATAATCATATGAATCAAGACAATTCAATATCACTAAATTATATAAAATCAAAGTAATGACACATGAATTATGTTTAAAATGTCTATAGAACAACTTACAAGCATCAATTAAACATGCATTTCGTTCCATACTATAATAGAAAGGACATCCTTGCAATAATTTTATTGTTAGCAAACCTAATGTACATATATTTGGATCATCATTAATGCCATATTTGTGCACAGTAGAATCGGCGATTCGTTCACGTACTAAACCGACAAAATTTTTTGTTGCTAAACGATCTGTTATTCTTTGTCGATCTTGATCAGCATTAGCTGCAGATGCATGTTCAGCAGCATGAACAAAAATAAGCACAATCTTAAGAAATATATCAGATTCTTGAATGTTCAGACGCATATTAGATGCCTGCCAGTTGGCTAATATATCCAAAAGCATTTGATGTAGAAATTGCATAATTGGGTGAGAAAGAACTCGTGGATCAAGTAATTTATATGGTAAAATTGCTAGAACAGCATTTGTTATTTCTTCTACAGCATCTAAAAACATATTCATTGTTGTTTCACCACTGTTTTCCATTCGTTCAAATTCAATAAGAAATTCATCAAACATAGTACAAATATCACTTGAAGAAAGTTTATCATCAACAATATCTTTTTCAATAGCAGATAAATTAAATTGATTGACCATTACTGGTGATGGCAATGAAATCATATTTTCTGTTGTCATGATGGTAGAAGTCTAATGAGAAGAATTTATACTTCTGTTGAAAAAATGTCTGTAATGAAAATATGTAATTTGTAACTATGTCAGTTGAATCTGCTCTTTAAACGAAGTGTGAAGTACCTGTATATATATTTTTTTCAAGAAATAAGAAAAATATGCTTGGTTAATGAAGAGGAACGTCGTCGTTTATAAACATTTAATTATGCCTCATCACTTTTATTATGCTTGTCTGATCGTAATGCAGTTGTTTATGTAGTTTTCGTTTCATATGAAAAAAAAACATTAGATTGTATGCCTTGGTAAGAATCAAACAGAAAAAGAAATTTAGGTCTGAGTAAAGGAGCCAATGCTATTTGCACAAACGTTATTCTTCAATTGTATTTCACATAAGGAGAAATAATAATCCTCATGCTTTGAAGGCTATACTAGCATGCAAAGTGGTTCCAAACATTTTAGCTAAAATTAATGAAAAATATTTATCAAAATTCGACTATCTCTTATCTGTCTTTGTCAGAAATAACACTATGGTACACTTGCCCATCGTTAGCAGTTTATGAAAATTTAGAAAATAACTATAAAAATTTTCTTTTACGATTCAATCAGAACATTCAAAAGTGTTAACAAAGACTAACTCGTTATCGCATTCATGAACACAGAATTATATACCAAACAAAAATGTATCGCAAAATTTTTGCCACATCTGGTTTATCTTACATGGAGAATTATGTGTTCCACTGTCTAACAGTTACTTTATGTATTCTAATCGAGAGAAAAAAAAAGTTAAAATAACTTTTTTATTATTAAAAAAAAAGTATCAACTTAAAAGTAAAACATCTATACAATCAAAAACTTCAGAAACATCAAAATAATCAGTGAAATCGAAAAAATCCTTTTTTTGTAACTAGTTTGATAGATCTCACCCTCTAAATGTGTGAATGATCTTTTTCTAACAACTAAGTTCTACCTACAGACTTAAATAATAAGAAAATACTTAAAATCAAGTTAGAAATCGTTGATCCAGTACTATTCTGGAATCCTACTTTAACTAATGCATAAGTTATTCAAAGAGAAAAACAGAGTTTACGTGATTTAACTGTTGATGTTTGCTTTTATGTACATGAAGCATTTTGCTAGTCATTACACATGAATTTAAGATTTTCATTTTTCAATAGATAACTAAAGTAGATCTTTTTCTTAAGATTTTGCATTCAAGAGCTTTACTCATTTATATTGTCAATAACTACTAAGATTCCAATTCATTGTTACATTCATAGTAATTTGAACTTACCTATTAAATGATGATTTTTTTGACAAGAAACATGGACATTATGGTAAAGATTTATTTCGGCAATCATTCCCATATTCTGAAGATGTTAGAATGAAATAAGAAAATACTTCTGACAATAAAATGTTGTATTAACTCAATGAATGAAATAGAATGAAATTCTTTATAAATTTTTATTAATAAGTTTTTTTCAACCTTCTTTAAGAACAGATACCAATAGTAATATGATCATAGATATAATCTCAATCAGTTTTCTCAAAGTGACTCTTAAACTTCTAAAAGATCCATCGAAAAAATACTTTTTTCTAATTAAGTATCAAAAACTAAAGAAAAACATATTATTCTCTTAGATTTAAGACAAACACCGTGAAAAACCATTATCACCATATGTAAGCTTACAGCATGTGTTTATAGGCAATTTTTGTAAATTGATCTATATAGTTAGTTTTTTCTGACAGAACATAAGAGAAAATGTGTTTTCTCATTGAAATGACCCTGATCTTTAATTTAGTTTTATTCTTGAGAAATTTGAACGTCGTAATTTTAAAGTAGAATACGCAAAAATGAACTCATTTACGATAGCTTCTATGATTAAAACTGAATTGAAAAACAAAATAAACATCATATTTACAATCAGCATGAAAATCTGCACTGGCCCACTTGCATTTCAACACAATTAATTTACCACACATTGCGTTTTTCTTCTGAAGTCTTCTCTATGATTGATTTTTCATTTCACACAGCATATACTGATATGTCTACGGACTAGAGTAGTTTTTCACGGTGATTGTGAATATGACGTTTATTTTGTTTTTCAATTCATTTTTGATAATTGAAACTGCAATCAATGGGATCATTTTTGGATCTTTTACTTTAAAATGACGATGTTTTGAATTTTGCAACAATAAAACGAAATCTAAAACATCTAAACGAGTATTTTTCTATCTCTGAACAAGCTGATTTCAATGAAGTAAAACATTTCATCGTTTCTTCTGTCATAAAAGTTAACTAGATAAGTTTACAAAAGTGCCTATAAACACATACTAGAAACTTACATATATTGATAACGGCTTTCTGTTTCGTTTGTCTTAAATCTAAGAAAATAATATTTATTTATTTAGTTTTCTATTACTAAATTAGAAAAAAAAGTCGAAACATTTTTTTTAGAAACTTCAGAGTTATTTCGAGAAAAAGTGATTTAGGTTATACTTGTGGTCTTATTACCATTTTGGTCTTTTGCAACGAATGTATAATCTAATTGAAAGAAAAAATATCTATTCATAATTAGCTCTGGAAGCTCTATCAAAGTATGTATATAGAAATCAATGAAAAAAAAATCTCCTCCATTTGTTTTTGGTTAGGTACACCTTTCATGTCTTTTGAGAGAAAACTGTTAAATTTTTCATATCAAAAAATAATCGATGAAAAGTTCGAAAATTTTTCTTTGATTAAATAATCCTATGACAAATAACAAAATGTATGACTAATGACAATTCACTGTACGCTTTGTCTTGGAAAATGAATGTAGACACTTGTCAGCTCATTGAACATTTATTGAATAAAATTATTTCATTTGGCTATGTTGATAAAAATTATTCATTACTAAATAGATGATAATATTTCATGGACAAATATTTCAAAGTTCGATTCATATTTAAAAAAATTAATTGTTAATTGTCCAAAATAAAATGTTAGCAAAACCTTGACTCATCATCTCGCAAATGTTCTTCCACATATGTACTACAAATGTATGTATTTAATGGTAAATCATCAGCACAAACAGCACTTAGACTACTAATAAAATGAAGATAAGTAGAAATTGGTAAAATTTTATCATGAAGTTTTAAAAGTTCAAATTTTAATGAAT